ACAGGGCCTGGCCATTGAAGGGGAGGTCCTGCATCGACTGCTGACCCTCAGTCGACAGACCCAAGAGGAGCAACCAGGATGCCCTCCGCATGGAAACGGCCAAAGCCATGGTGCGAGCCGCAGAGTCTGCCATGTCCGAAGCTGCTTGGAGGGCCGTACTGGCCGCCCCCATACGCTCTGAGGATCGCCCAGAACTCTTTCCTGGACCCTTTGGGCAACGAGACCTTGAATTTGGCCATGGTCTGCCACATGTTGTAGTTGTAGCGGCCAAGGAGGGCTTGGTGATTGGCCCCTCTCAGCTGAAGGCTGAAAGACTAATACATTTTTTGCCCAAACAGATCCAGGCTCTTTGAGTCTTTATTCTTGGGCATAGCCCCGGGTTGACCCTGTCTCTCCCTCTGATTAATGGCCTCAACTACGAGGGAGTTTGGAGCCGGGTGAGTATAGAGATGCTCCATGGCCTTTAGCTGGCACAAAATATTTGCGCTTAGCCCTTTTTGAAATAGGTGGCAGGGAGGAGGGGGTTTGCCATAGGGCATTAATAATTTTGATACCCCCTCATGTAAGGGTAAAGCCACCCTGGCAGGTGCCATGGAACAAAGAAAGTCGAACAGTGAGTCCGATGGCTCCTCGAGCAGCAGGCGTTCCAGCACCATCACTGGCGGCAAGAAGGAACTGAGGGTTGGGGGAGCTGGCGGCGCCCCTTATACCGTGGCATGTGCTCGCCACTCCAGCGGGCACCAAAGCCGGTCCCCTACGGATACCACTGAGGGAAATACTTCTGGCACCGATGCATGTGTCGAGCGCACACACCTAGTATGGAATGGACATGAGCAAGCACTTGAAAAGAACATGCCCCTACAACTCTTCCTTGAAAACCTCCCACCTTTTCCTTTCTTACTGCTTCTTCCACAGTTCGTAACGTAAATGGCCACAGAAGCAGCTTGTGTGTACATGCCTCCAGGCACATGAAGTAACCCATCAAATTAAACTTTTCTGTCCTATCAGCAGTCAGCTCAGCCGAAGGTGTACGTACATAGAGCCACCAAAGGATGATACAAACAGAATGCAGCTTTCTAATGGGGATAAAGAATGAAAAATACAAACTATGGATGATAATCAAGTCCCACTGCAGTCTGTAACTAGTGAGACCTAATCTTGTAAGAAGTTCCCTACATTCTACGCTTTCCGCTAAATCAGACAGGAAATTCTGCAGCAGTTTAAATTAAACTTTTAAAATGAAGTTTTAAATAAAATGAGAATTAATTATACAATCACTACAGATTCCTTATATTTTTTTATTCTGATGCCTCGTTGAATTTTACACTGTCCTCACATTTCCAATTTTCTATATTCTACATTTTTTTAATTTCACAATTCAAGGGCATTATAAATGCTGTCAGGAAAAGTTGATCTTGACAACTGAGTAAGGAACAATTGGGAAGACAAAAGCCTTCAGATAAGCTTGTTCCCATAAAACTATCAACCAGTGAAATCGTTAATGCAGACTTTTGTTACCTTTAGATTTCAGAGTTAACGGCAAATTGAAAAGAATGGGGCAGTTCACATCTTTTGGGGCCATTGTTACAGGCTTTCTATAAACTGCATTATGACTACATTGTACATATTTTCAAGGTTATCTTTACAACCATGAAGCTAGAGTCTTATTTTTTTTCCTTATATGAAAGCTTACAACCTGAATCACAATTCTTTGGCAAACGGATAAATTCTGAAGCTTCAGTACTGCAAAAGACACAAGACCGTGACCATAATTAAAAAGTGAACCCAGCGTAAATTGGCTTTCCCACAAAGGGAGTTTGACATTCCTGTTTTGAGTAAATTCTTCTTTGGGCACATCTCAGAATAATATAAATGTCATCTGGAACGAGTTCTAGGTTTGAGAATCATGGAGCCGCACTGATGGCACTCAAGTAAACTCTCATTCTCAAGGATTAATACATACCGGTAAGCAGACCGATACTATGTCTCTTCACTAATTACACAGACCTAAGATCTTTACTAATTTATGCAGTCTGTGTGCATTATAAATCTTTCTGTTTCCATCCCATACAGTTGAGTACACAGGGACTGGATTTTGTACAGTACCTATGTACCAATGAATAATGTCAGTACTTGAGAGGAAATATGATCTAATGATTAAGATACAGGACTAGGGTTCATGAGATCTGAGTTTCCGGAACACTGACTAGCTGAACAGAAAAAAGAATTATAGTAGAAGTGAGGGATTGAGTGACCTTCAGAAGTTAGTCAAGAAAGAGAGGGTTATTCAGGTAGCAAGCATTAAAAATCAACTTAAAGGAGTAGTTCATAAGAGATGCCTAAATGCAGAATTGGTTTGCAAATTTCCAGCAGTTTGATTCAGCTCCTCAAAGTCAATGGGAGACTTTTTCCAATGACTTCAGTGATCTTTGAACTAGGCCCTAGGAAACCAACAAGAAATCATTTTTCTTCCTCGCCGCCCACATGTGTGTTTTTCTCTTTTTTACCCAAAATACATGCAATGTAATAATAGTAGTTTACAAAGTACAGCATCTTTCATCCCACTTGACTCAAAAGCACTTTATAAACCATATATGCAAGAATCAATTCACCCACTAATGAAGCAAAACCACCCCCAAGGCAAAATTTGACAGCTAATTAGCAGCTTGCAGCAACATCACAGAATAGTATCAGCAGGAAGTGAGGAAGAATGCTATAAGAACATATTTATTAGGCCTTTTAAATAATGTCTTCACTAGCCAGTAAACAATCTAGACTTCCCAATTTCTGAACTTTTTTTTTTTTTTTTTTTTAAACATTGTTGGACAAATATTCCATGAAACGCTAAGGCCTAGTCTACGCTATAAAGTTAGGTTGACATAAGTCACCTTGCATCAACCTATTTGTGCATGTGTCTATGCTCAAATTTGTCTCCAGCTGACAAACACCCTGCTACAGCAACACAGTGAAACCACATCCTCAATAGCGTAGAGCTATGGTAAACCTATGCAGAACACTGAGGAGGAAGAGAAAGACGAGGATTAGGGAGGACACGTTCTGTGAGATCCCGTAAACTAATGCTGCATCAGACCGTGAACAAAGAGCTTGGTGGGCCAATATGACTGACAGCATGGAAAACCAGTCAGTGCTTGTTTCTCAATGAAGCGCCACTTATGGACCTGTCTGCAGCTGCTCCAGGAACACCACCAACAGCCTTGAATTGTTTGTCTCTATGTCCCTCAGCAAATTGGCCTAGAAGAAATCCTCACATCCCTCATTATTGCAGTACATCCTGCAGATCTGCAAATACAGGAGAATCATGAAACCTGTATTTGCAGCATTCATGAGAATACTGCAAAGCTCTGCGGGCTCCATGCTTCTGACAGAGATTGCAGAGACAGAAAAGCACCACGTGGATTTGTGGGATTTTTTTTTTTAAAAGGCACGAAAATTATGGAATATTAATGGTATTCTGAGATGGAAAAAGCTGCATGCTTGGAACTTGACCCCTAGCTCCCAGAAATTCCTGGGCAAGTCATTTCTATCCCACAACACGTGGCAAAAATTTCTCAAAAGGCACAATACCCGATGGTGGCATGATGCACCACATTTTGCATTGACACAAGCACCCCTGGTGAGTACACCAGCACTGACACAAGCAGCCAAGTATGCACAAGTCCAAGCGATATAAAAACTTCAGTGGCTGTATGCCAACATAATTGCATCCACCACAGTTTGTAGTGTAGACATGGCCTAAAAATACTGAAGAATCCTGACTGGCTAATAGAAAGGTTAGCAAATCATTCTGTGCTGTTCAATATCTGTAAATTGATCTTCTAATAATATGCTCTTACACCCATCTAAAGGCACTAATGGAACACAGGCAGCTTTGGTAAAGACATTTCCAGGTCTTAAGGCTTATTTATGGCCTGATCCAATCCTCTATGAAGTCAATGGAAAGATGCCACAATGTTAACAGAATGTCATAACTGTTACTGGGTACAGAAAAGTGAAGAAATACCAATCTTCACTCTGCCTCCTTTTGTACATTTGTTATGCTGGTCTTTACTTACAATATCACATACTACAATTTAATCCTGGTTTTTTTTTCTTTTAATAAATAGTATGTGATCAAGTCTATATTGGAATGCACCAGGGGTGCACACAATCTGGATTCTGGCATTTCCTGATTTTGAGTGCTTAATTATTTTAGGCCCCAACCCTGCAAAGACTTATGCACGAGCTTAACTTTACGCAATATGAACAGTCCCTATAACTTTAATGGGACTAGTCAGTGAATAACCTGAAACACAGGTATATGTCTTTGCAGGGTCAGGATCTTACTTTTTTATTAGTGTAGAATTTTGTATGGAATTTCCTACACTTTTTAAATGAAAAAGATGGAAAAATTAGTAAAAACATAAAAAGAAGCTTCCCTCTCTAAGGCTTCAAAACTTCTGATCTGCACTTTTCAAAAATTTTATATGTATATTACAATTTTAATTTGAGAGAGACAAGGTAGGTGAAGTAATATCTTTTATCGGACCAACTTGCATTGATGAGAGAGACATTTTTGCACTTACACAGAGCTTTTTTCTTCAAATCTCTAATATTCTTGGACCAACACAGCTCCAATTACACTGCAAATTTTAATTTTGTAATTCAAAAAATACAAATAACTTATCCAATCTTAATTCAGATGCACTACAAGTATCCACTTTAACTAAATATAACATTCACATTCAAATAAAATAGTCCCAAACTTTTCTATTCCCAACTACAGATCAATTTCAATCACAGAATAAAAAAAGCTGAGAATATAATAATAGAAAAACCACAGTGCAAAACCATTTAGAATTTATACACTGAATGGAATTCTGTTCTCACAGCAGTTCTATTACAAGTAAGCAATCAATACTTTCACCAATTAGGCATACATCAAAAAATACTAATAAGTAATAAACTTTTAATCTTATTTCCTTTTCAAACTAGCAACTTACTGTAGAAAACCAAATCTATCTGTGACTTTGTAAAGAAGGTAGTCTGCATCTTCCCAAGGTTCAATCTGGGCACCCTCTCGTCCCTAAAAAGAGAAAGAAAGGCAACAATGAAGGCTTATGGCACCACATAGCAAGCTGGTCTAAAACTTAAAAAGACAGGACATGAGTTCTGCAGTTGGAGGCATATTCTATATCTGTCACGCAGAACACCACCATAGAACTCCCAATCTGACCTACGAAGGATGAGAGCTCCACAACCATCCCACCAACTTTACTCATTTAAACAGTATTTCCACCGCAGAAAAGTTCCTCAGGCTGTCTTTTTTGTACAACCCTTCATGTCACTGGTGGAGTTGGGGAGCAATGTGGTAAAAGAAAAACAGATGAATAGTGAGGAACAATGTTTTAAAAGGCTTTGAAGGACAGGACGTGTCTTTAACTTGATGTGGTGGACGAGGGAGAGCTAGTGGAGAGATTAAGAAAGGGAGGGGGTGATATGGATTGATCAACAGGGAAAGATAATTTTAGCAGCTGCATTTTGTAGAATCAGTGGGAGTAATATGTTTGTCACAGAGGTCTGAGGTGGTGGTGGAGGCGGGTGAAGTCGTAAAGATGGGAGATCGTGCAGCATTTTAGCTGTATGTGCAGAAAGAAAATGATGAATCTTAGACATATGAGGATGAAGAGCAGCCACACTTTGATACTGTCTGGATACGAGGAGTGAGAGGGAGACGAAGATTTCCCCCAGGTTTGATTGATACAGAAGATGACAATTTCTAATAATAAATCAAAGCTGATGTGCATGTATGCACACACATCCTTGTTGTTCATGACAGGTGCCATTCTGACAGCCTCAGCACTGACCTGCCAAGGCCTCCTTCATGAGTAAGTCCAGTCTTTGATGCCTATACATTCAATAACCCCTGTGATAAAGGTGCTAGAAAAGGTCTCCATTAGCGCTAGCTGTGATGGCTATTTTATAGGAATTCCTGTCTCCCAGAATATTGAATGGACCACCAGAACCATGGTAGAGCTGGAGGTGCAGGAGCTTGGGGTGCACTCGCAGAGTTGTGTAGTGAATGGGAGTTGGAATGCAGGGGGCTGGAGTGTACTGGCAGGGCTGAGATGCAGGAAGGTTGAAGTACACTGACAGTTGTGAGGTGCAGGAGTAGCAGTACACTGGCAGAGTGTTTAGTGCAGGAAGATTAGGGTGCAAGAAGGTTGGGGTACAATGGCAGAGCTAGGGAGTGTACCCCCACCCTCTCTTAGAACCATAGAATCCTAGAATATCAGGGTTGGAAGGGACATCAGGAGGTCATCTAGTCAACCCCCTGCTCAAAGCAGGACCAATCCCCAACTAAATCATCGCAGCCAGGGCTTTGTCAAGCCGGGCCTTAAAAACCCCTAAGGAAGGCGATTCCACCACCTCCTTAGGTAACCCACTCAGTGCTTCACCACCTTCCTAGTGAAAAAGTTTTTCCTAATATCCAACCTAAACCTCCCCCACTGCAACTTGAGACCATTACTCCTTGTTCTGTCATCTGCTACCACTGAGAACAGTCTAGTTCCATCCTCTTTGGAACCCCTTTTCAGGTAGTTGAAAGCAGCTATCAAATCCCCCCTCATTCTTCTCTTCTGCAGACTAAACAATCCCTGTTCCCTCAGCCTATCCTCATAAGTCATGTGCTCCAGCCCCCTAATCATTTTTGTTGCCCTCCGCTGGACTCTTTCCAATTTTTCCACATACTTCTTGTAGTGTGGGGCCCAAAACTGGACACAGTACTCCAGATGAGGCTTCACCAATGCCGAATAGAGGCCTTGCCTCCTCTACCATCCCCATTTATCTCCCTCCTGATAACCCCCTCCCCTTGCTGGAGCTCCAAATCCCTATTCCCCTAACCCCCCACTCCTCCATCTCCTAATGCCCCTCCCCTCCCAGGATGCATAACACATCCAATTTCCCTCCCCACCAAAAGACTTCAATTACATTCCCCCAAAACTAAAACTGCCACCCATGACTCAAATTGTAGCAACCTCCAGCTGCTCAGTTAAAAAAAAACTCCTTTTGTCGTAGCTGGGGGCTTGTGATTAACTTATCCTTAATTATGTTAATTAAAGGGTAAGTTCACAGCCATTGTGATTCAGCCAATCATTAACGCGTCTCAGTACAAGGCAGCACTCAGGAACTCCTTGGCCGAATAACCCCAAATTTGGATTCCTAATGCTACCCTGCATCCTGTCCCCCTTGAGGGGCACTAAATTTCAATGTAATACAAATAACTATTCAGATTTTAGTGTGCTTACAAGAGTTGAGTTTTAAAGCATATAAAATGGCAAGACTATAAACCTTCTAGCTGATTTTCTGTATTGATGCATGCATAAAATTAAAAATGTATATTTTCTTAAATACTGTTCTCAGCATGGGTACCCAAAGATTTAGTGCACCACCTTGGGTAAAATGTGACAGATTAGAACCATTTTGACCTGCATCATATCAATAGTTTGACCTTTAGCTCTGTACAATGAAAATAAAGTAAAATCAAATCAAATCAAATGAAAGACACACACCACCTAGCCATTTTTTTAAATTTCTATTTTTTTCTGAGCTTACATATCTGGAACCCCTGGCTCAAATGACTCCAAATTTAAGTCATTAATCCTAGCCTGCACACTTCAGAGGCGCACCAACTTTCAAAGAAATCTGAAAAAGTTTGTCTATTCTAGATTCAGGGCCGGCTCCAGGCACCAGCCCACCAAGCTGGTGCTTGGGGCAGCACCTGGAGGGGGGCGGCGCGGCGCTCCGGCCCAAGAGCAGGGCCGCGACTGGGCTCACCGCCGGGGAGAGCGGAGCCCCGGCGGGGCTCGCCGCCCTCCCCCCGGCGCAGCCTCTGGCCCCCGGGGAGAGCGGAGCCCCGGCGGGGCTCGCCGCCAGGGCTCCGCTCTCCCCGGCGGGAGGCTTTTTTGCCTGGGGCGGCAAAAAAGCCAGAGCCGGCCCTGTCTAGATTACTGAGCAAGGTCAACCTTTAAACAGATGTGATGCAACCTCAACTATAGTGGCAGTGCTGCACCACTATAATTAAACAGTCTTTCAGTCATGATTGCTACCAACTTTGCACTAAAGCTATTGCTACAAAACAAATGTCAGTGAAAAGAAAATCCCTATGGCTCCCTTAAAATCAAATATATTCCACATTATATAGATAAAGCTTTACTTTATATACAATTTTGCATAATGTTTCCTTACCTCCACAAATTACAGTCTAGCACAGTGATACTCAGACTGAGGTTCGGGAGCCGCAAGTGGCTCTTTAATGTGTCTCCTGCGGCTCTTTGCAACACATGATATTAAAACATTGTGTGATTTAATTATTAACCAGGCTAAATTATTAACCAATAAGGATGTTTTTATTATGTTATTAATCAATTAAGTTATCAACCTGCACTAAGTTATTAACTTATTTGTTGTGAGAATAATATATACTACTATTTTATAGATATAGATTTATTGTGTGTGCACGTGTGTGTGTATATAACTATATATTTCCCCGGCATACTATTTAAATATGAATATATACCACTATAGCCTCCTACTACTGTAGCTCTTTTGGGTAATGTTGATCACTAATTTGGCTCCTGAACCACTGAGGTCTGAGTATCACTGGTCTAGCACGTCGTATGACTACCAATGATACTGTGATGAGAATATGTGAGTAAGGTGTAGGCATGCATAACCCAATTGTATTATATGACAGTCTTACTTACTATATGGTACAAAAACAGCACAGGCTGAAATTTTTTTCTTTACATAAAATAGGTTACTATAGCAAATCAATGTGGTTATTTTTTTTTCTTTTCAATCGCCATTACTGATTTAGCATTAAATTTCTATTATCATGCATCAATAAAGAGTTAAAGTATGTGTATTCTCAAAAAAAAAAATTGTGTCTCTAGATCAATACATTGGATTCACTAACTAGCATCAATCAGAATAAATAAAATCTAACTGGTTGTTCGACACGGGCACCTCAATATAAGTGAGAGAAAAATGACAAAAATCTTAAAATAGCCCTGAAGCAACTTAAGTTCATCAAACCATCAGCAAAAACACGGAAAAAAATAAAATAAAGCAAGCTCTCCTAACGTTAATGTGTACTGAACTTGATGCAGAATATCACACAGAATATTTTAGGAGAAGACTATTTATTTTTGAACTTGCCAGAGGAAGCCCACATTTCAATTTCTAATAATCAATGCCAAAATTACACTATTAACAGGAGCACTTACTTTGTCATACTTGGCAACTATCTCAGCTCGTTCTTGGGCAAGTTTGATAGCAGCATCCTGCTCGGCATCTGAATCTGTTCAGGATTAAAATAAAAAAGTAACTGAGGTTTGTGCTCTCTGTAATCGAGAATTGTTGAAAGTAATTAAAGAAGAAATCTTAACATCACATAGAGACGTTAGGCCTCAGGAGTACCAAAATGAATATAGCAAAATGAAATATGGTGGTATAACCTGAAAAGTAACAATTTGAATACTGTTCAAGATCAATAAAATTGTGCACTGTTCCAACTGCTGAACGGATGCAACTTCAACTCTCAAACCTGTAATCTAACAACATATTTTATTTCTATACCATTATGAGAAACGGAAGAGCTAAAGCTTCTTGCGATAAGATGCATTAGGAACTTCTGAGATACCACTATGAGTTTTTGTGATTCTTTCACAATTTTCACTAACCATAGTGCTTCATTCGTTGATTTTCTTTCTTTTTTTAAATTACATCCATCATGATTTGCAATATTACAATGCTATCTTATGCAGCAAAGGGTTGGCATGCCAATGCTGAAGTATTTTCTCTAACCTTTCCAGAAGAGGGACATTTAAATCTTGAAAAGAACTGGAAGACTGAAGGCCTCAGGGCTAAAACTTCCACATGCGCCTTACCCTTAAGAACTCAGATATTGCAAGTAATGCTACAATGCAGGTTATTGCCACTTTTAAAAAAATCTAAAATTAACAGTGTATGAGTAATTCCCAAGATTCATAAAGTGACAGGATTCGAATATACCAGAACTATTAAAGTAGCAGTGCTTGAATTAACTCTTAGGACACTGTAAAAAGCGACAAAGAGTCCTGTGGCACCGTATAGACTAACAGACGTATTGGAGCATAAGCTTTTGTGGGTGAATACCCACTTCATCAGACTCTTGACATCTGTTAGTCTATAAGGTGCCACAGGACTCTTTGTCGCTTTTTACAGATCCAGACTAACACAGCTACCCCTCTGATACTCTTAGGACACTGGCTATTCCCAAGGAGGCAGTGAAGGAAGAGATGGGTCATATCAGGAACTGAAGCTGGGGAAAGAAAGAGCTGGTGCAGCGGGAACAGCATGACACATTAGGATGGTAGGTCTGACACATGAGAGTAGATGGAGCCTTCCAGGCAACTGATGAGGTAGCATGGGGCCTTCCAGCCAACTGATGAGGAAGTAACATTTCAGTGTAGCACTGGGATCAGAGCATTAGAAAGGATCTTGTTGACAGAGAAGGGAGTAGAAAACAGAATAAGAGAGTGAACAACTAGACTAGCTTATCTGGCTCCAATCCCAAAGTACACTCAACCTTTAGTTTTCCAGTGGTAAAGGAGACATAAGAAAATTAAGATATCTTACCAACCAACATTTGACAATGATCAAGTAACTAATTCAAAAATGGTTATGGCATCAGAATTAATGAAGGAAACCATCTTCCACCAATGGAAGATTTTCCTTTTTTTTTTTTTTTAATATAAAAAAATTTTAAAAAAACAGCTATCAAAAAAGATTTGGTATTTAAAGAATACATTCATTTCAAAACTGTATTTTCATTCACCATTTAGTCCTTGAAGTGGGCATCCTTGTAGTGTATTATTTCTCTAGAAAGGGAACACTCCAAAAGTATATGCCATGAAAAATGGTACATTGTAAGGGATTCTATATAAAAGCATCATATTCCAAGGACAGACTTTTTATTGACATACTTTTCACTATTTGTTCAACCCTTATATTTCCTTATGGGATTTATTATGACTATTTTTCAGAACAATGGCTTTCCTAGATATTTCCACTAACCCGATTACAAATAAAGGCAGAACATTCTTGAGAAGAACACACATTTTCTTACTGATACCTAACTCAATAGAATATTAACTGTGACAAATGGATTGTAATGAGCAATGAATGACAGTTGAGTATCTCTTAATACGAAAGGTAAAAAGATAAAAGCTTAAATAGGTTAACCAAGGAGCCAGTTAAAGGAAATCACTGTTAGAAAATACTTTTTAACACATTAAGTTTTGTGTTTGATGTGGTGGTTTCGGTTTTTTGTTCTTTTAAAACCACAGCTGATAGAATAAAACGTGCAGATGTCCCATCTGCAATCAGGTTTTGGGCAACATACAGTACCTGTACAGTATCAGAGGGGTAGCCGTGTTAGTCTGGATCTGTAAAAAGCAACAGAGAGTCCTGTGGCATCTTTAAGACTAACAGATGTATTGGAGCATAAGCTTTCGTGGGTGAATACCCACTTCATCAGACGCACTTCATCTGTACAGTAACTCCTCTCTTAACGGTGTAGTTATGTTCCTGAAAAATGCTACTTTAAGCGAAACAGTGTTAAGTGAATCCAATTTCCCC